AAAAAAAAAAAAAAAAAAAAAAAAAAAAAACCTTTCTTCTTGATGTGCACGAAAGAAAAAGAATTTGTGAAGAAAGAAGAAAAGAAAAAAGAGAATGAAAAAGTTTGCTAAATTACAATTTTATTTTTTGTTTGCCGACACTAAATTACAGATATTTATTTAGTATAATTGTTGTATTTATGTTGATTAAAAATCTAATTGATAATAACAATATACTGTGAAGAGAGAAATTTCGAATGAGAATGTAACATATATTATTGATAAAATTCTCAAAGTATTCTAGTGATGAGAAAAGTGTTTTATTGGTCCTCTTAAAATTTTTTTGGGGACTTGTCTATAAATTTATTTTTTTAATTAATATTTTTTAAAATCAACTGTTGGGTTGAAAATTTTATTTTTATAGATAATGCATGTTAATTTTTAAAATGATCTAGTAAATTCAATCATTTCATTGATTATACCAAATTTAATATCATTAAATACATTAGCAAATAGAATTTTTTTAATTAAAATATTATAAATGTTAAATTAATATAAAATTGACATATGTAATTTACATAAATAAAAATTTAAATCCAACAATTTATTTTTAAAAATATTAATTAAATTGTAGATTTTTAGACATATTCTTTAAAAAAATTTTAAAAGACAACCTACACAACGCTAACCCATTTAATAACATTTCTCCTTCCACATAAAAATAAAATACATAAATTCCCTCTGTGAAATTTAGATGAGGTAAGAGGGATATTATCAGGCAAAAAAAAATTAATTGGACTCAAAAAATAAAAAAAATGTGCATCTCTCTCTCCCTATTAATTAATCTAGATACTATTTTTTTAATAATATAAAAAATACAAAGATAAAACACACCATAATTCCAAAACAACTTAATTTGGAGAGTTGCGTAAAATATTCTTTTCTTATTAAATAGGGGATGATGGGCATTGATGCACTTTAATTGGACGTCCTCTTCCTAACTACTACAACCCAAAAAAGAGCAAATTGGAGCACTCCATGAGTCAATAAGCTGGTCTAAAAGGTGGAACCTTGGGCGGTCCAACCAACAAAGACCCAACTTAGCATACGTTTCTTTTGCATTTTAAAAAAAGAGTAACGTTACAATTTTTTAAGGAACTATTATTTCCCATTCCATGGCAGCCCACGACTCATTCAAATTAAGATTAGAATTTTGGAGCCATTGTTTTCAGTGGAAGATTTGTGGGACCAAA